TAATGGTGCTAAGTTTAGATACAAATTTAAATGACAAATCACGATTGTACACTTGTGAAAATATTAGCATATGTAGAAGAGATATGAAAACTACCATGATCCCCAGCATAAGAAGAAAGGTATATTCTTACCAATTTTGTATGTGCCAAGTTAAGTAAGTATTCCAAATTATACGGTGCAGTAAAATTGTTGATTTTTGTACATTATTTTGAAACAACTAAAGTAAAAAAGGAAAATATTAAGACAATTTATTCATTTCGTCGTTTTCCTGCTCAAATTCATTTATATTTAACCGGGCCTTACAGTAAATAAAAAAAATGTAGTGTACTAAACCGTTTTGAGGCCTAGTCACATTTACATCCATTAAAACATTCCATGTTTCATCAAATGTGACCAGCCCTCGTATACTAGAATAGAATGTAGGCCATGTAAAGTTGCACTAATCACTGTAAATATTAATGTTTTGTTTGTAAAGATTGAATGGTTTAGGTATTTGCGATGATCTGCCAACTTAAAAACAACAAACATTGGACATTTTTATCATCCAAATATTTGCCACATTTTTCGACTATCCGGTAATTATTAACAGATTAGTTTAGAATTAATTGATTTCATTGGAAATTCCTAAGCTGTTCTGAGTTTTGTTTGAGTTGTCTCTTTCGAACTCTGAACAAAAGAGTCATTTTATGTGGGTAATTCTAAAGTAATTAGTAAAAGGGTGCCAGATTTTCTACCTTCTCTAGTAAGTACTAAACATTTGTATATACCTAAATTGGCATTCCTCAGCTCTAGATTATAAACATTAATTAAATCAACTGTACATGCGATTACGTTTAATCAGTGTTAAAACAATGTAGTTACTTAAAAAAAACTGTAAACTATGGTGTAAATTGTAAATAGACCTGGTAAAATTTCGAGCAAACAGGCGATTGAAAATGATTTAAATTTAGTAGCGAAATTTGTAAAAACATACTTGTATAGAACAATAATAATAAGAAAAGTGTTTATGCATCCACAACATGAAACGAAACAGGTTTGTTACATATTGTGCTCGTTTGCACCGGTGTGATTTCGACGGGAAAAACGGTTCCATTTCCCTGTTTATACAATGTACAGAAAATGTAAAATTTATGGCTTTTATACTAACGCTCCCAACTCGAACAAAACGTTTTAGACGTTTCACCTTGCACCACCATGCATTATATGAAAAGCTCGTAAAATGTTTTAGATATCCGAATAGGACAATCTCTTATGAAAAATGCATAAAGTCTGATGCTCAACATAGCACGATGCATATATTCTGAAATCGTTTTCTACATCTTGGTTTATCTTCGGTGGCACAACATGTAAATAATTCCTGTTGGGATTTTATTTTCAAATCTCTAGGGAACAGTTTAGAATTTCTGGTTTAAATATTTGATTTGTGGCATTGTGTTTTCCAACTTTGTGATTTTACCACTGGAAACTTTTTAAATTGTCTTCAAAATACCCTTGGGAAAAATGGTACTTAATTCAGATTATCTTAGCAGTTTTTTTTATCACAAAACTGTGGGTCGTACATTCACAAAACAGGTATTATTGCTCTCAAGGCCTGTACAATTGCAATAAAATGTGCCCAGTTGCTTTCAGAATATTAGTAATTTTATTCTTTATGGCAACTCCAAAAACCAGTAGATCGAAAACTTCGCCATTTGGAAAATTATACATTTTTGGACTTGAGCAAATTTAGAAAACCAGTAGATAAAAATGAAAAAGTGTTTTGATGCATTTATTCGGCGCACTCTCATCTGATCTTGATATTATTGTCAATAATGCAAAAAACATATCACAGCCCTAACACGTTCCCTGGATTCAACAGACTTTGGAAATTCTATCGATTTTATGATTTTGTTGCTAAATCAATTCAATTTAATCTTGCTACTTTTTGTTAAACGATATAAATATAAATGGTAAATGTTTTATATGAAATTGCTGTGTATGAAAATAGGGAAACCTGTACATATTGTGTATTATGGTTGCAGATGTTATGTAAAATCGTAGAAATTGTGAAACAACGCTGGACCAATTTCTTACTATTTGTAAATTAAACGTTAGATGTTAATTTTTCCGACATATCATTAAATTAGAAATAAATAATTAGACTACAGGTACAACGTACTTTACGTATAAGCATCTAATGTATATTGTTACGTACCATAGAAAATGTTTAATCTAAGTTAACTGAACTTTAAGTAATAAGAGTAGAGCTATATTAGGAAATCGACTTATGGTTAAGTATGATGTACCCCATCCCAGTTCTATTAAACAAATGTGTATTAAAATACTGTCATCAGCTACTGTTAGGAGAAATAATCACTCTTTAGAAAGTTGTATTTTGAACAATGTATCTAAGACCCATTTTTAACCTTTGTTAATGTTTAAGATAATTTGAATATTGCTGTTAATAAAGACTTTGTAAAAAAGTCGCCAGAATATTATATCATATTTCCAATTCAAACCTTCATTTCCCAAGTTGAGCTCAGAAACTTGACAAAACGAAAACCTGTGAACAAACCACCAGTTTTATGAATTAAATCATCATTTTTTTGGGGTTTTTTAGCGCAATTTAAGGGCGCCCCAGAAAAAATACGGTTTCGAGCTCGATGGCACGGTTGATCAAAAGTTACCACAAGGGAGATAATAAATATCAGTTAGAAATTAGCTTATAACATAAAAACCTACTTGCCAAACCTTAAATTGGCTTAAAAAACCACGAGGTTTTCAAAGTTGAATAAAACTTGACAAAATATTAGATGTTGTTAATTAATAAAAATAAATCAAATTAATTCCTGGGTTTCAGTCATTTATTGTCTCTATTTATCCATCAAAATACGTTTCGGTGTATTTTTCCACCATCATCAGTTTTTATGTGTAGCGTTGTTGCTGCTTTAAGCCTTGGCATGCATTTTTTGCCGAGC